ACATACAAAAATAATATGTTTTTTGTAAACTACAGCCGTAAATATGATAAAACACATTTTTTTTTATAGCAACATCAAAAATCTAACACATAAATTACATACTAGTACTACTTTCAAAATTTGTACATTTCTTATTCGCTTTAACCTGAAACATTTTTATAGCGTAACTTAAACATATGGATTAGAAGATGTGGTATGAGTGCCAATGAGACAACTCTCTATCCAAGTCACAATGTATAAAAAGTTATAGGTAAAAGTACGGCCTTCAACACGGATCCTTGGCTCACACTGAACAGCAAGTTATAAAGGGCCCAAAATTACTGGTGTAAACAATTCAAACAGTAAAACCAACGGTCTAATCTATATAAAAAACGAGAAACGAGAAACACCTATGAACCACACCAACAAACGACAACCACTGAACAACAGGCTCCTGACTTAGGATAGGTGCATAAAAATGCGTTTTAATAGGCGCCAACCTTCACCCTAACATGTGACAGTAGTGTAACATTACAACATAAAAAGGCACACTATAAAATATCAATTGAAATGGCTTAACTCGATCAAAAAGACATTTAAACAAAAACAAGTAAACATACACTGATCTATGACACAATATAAATACAATATTAAAACGTAGGTGCCTATATAATATATACGTTACAAGTAGTAAAAAAAAAAGATGTAGAAATTGTGTTAAATAAAACAACGTAACAGGTAAATTAAAATATAATAATTTTGTTGTTAGGAGTACGGAAGTAAGCATTTTTTACACATAAATAAATAAATTTGTTGTTGAAAGTACGAGTACAGAAGTGAAAATGTATCGTCAAACTAAATACTTATCAAAGGTGGTACATATTAAAAATAGTGAGACGAGATATAACACAAACTAAGTAAACATTCACAGATAGAAGGATCATTAAGATTATAATAAATATGTATCTTGTTGTATATAGATAAAACAATCTCTAAATAGAAAATGAACGTGGATGTGTATTTATACATCCCAAAAACCATTCGAAAAAAATACAAATTTGATTATATTTTAATTTGTTGATGCCAAATCGATGTTAGTGCCAATGTAAACAATATTCAAAGATATTATTACAATATTAATAAGATAAGCTTTACTGATAAGTTTGTTTGAAGGCTCGATGAGTTTACATGGATCACATAGTGATTTCCGCGCTTTTAGTACAATATTACCGTGAAATTTAGGATGTGAAATACCGGTTTTAATAGTTTTCTACAGGTACAGCTACATTTACTAATCAAATTTGTATCTATGAAAGAATTTAGAAAATGTTTTAAGTGATTTATGGTAACGAAATCCCTGACTTAATAATTTACCAGTCATGCATTGATTACGTTCCTTAAAATCTATGACATCACTACACACACGGGCATAACGAACGAGTTGGGATATATAAACACCGTATGATGGAGCCAAAGAAACATCGCTGTCTAAAAAAGGAAAATCAACAAAAGGAAATGAAAATCGTCTCTTTTGTCGTAAATTTTAGTATGGAGTTTCCCTTTAGAAATTGTAATGTCTAAATCTAGAAAAGGACTACCTAATACGTGTCGATACACGAAACGCCGAAACGAAAATTAATGTTGCCTAGGAGAAGATTTAAAGCTTCAATCATATCTTCACATTTCCAGTAAGTGTATCTAGCATACTTTCCTTTTTCGTTACAGAAAAACGAGTTACAGCAAATGAATTTACAATACGATTTTTCAAAAGACTATTTAATTAAATCTGAAAACTTTATCTTGATAAGATTGTGTTGAAGTGTAGTGTAGAGAGTAGAAAATCATAACTGTCAACAGAATTAAAGGACCATCAAAAGCACGTTTTTTATATAAAACCTCTAAAAAATTTTGAACACTCCAAAATATTTAATACCATTATTTTCATAATATTTATTACAAAAGTTTATAATAAATTATTTGATAGTAGTAAGGGAGGTAGGTAGAAGCACTGACAGATTAGTAGTAGAACATTTACTAGATGCGGAGATGAAACGAAATTAAAAAGGAAGTTTATGTAATTTAGGTACTTTCAAATGTTCGGAAGAGGCTTTTAGATATGTATTGGCAGTGATATGCGTGTTTACAATTTGATTCTATGTGGAGCGTACGGACCTGAATGTAGAAGAATTTATAATTTCATTTTGGAGAACTTTCGTATAGTATATACGTCACACCACCACTACATTATTGGCTGCTTTGTCATGAACCCTATCATTAATTTCAGAATTGTTTTCAAAATGAGATAAACGACTATTAACAGTTTTCATAATTGTATTCAAATAACTGTCTAGGGATTTGTTATAAGATTTTTCACGTTTACACCAATGTTTACAGTAGGCAGACAGAGCGTCTTTAATGACCTGACGATACTGTTTCCAATTTATAATAGATGGAAGACGATATTTAGGTCCTTTCTTAAGAAAAGTTTTGATCTCACGTTCTTCAACGATGTTGAGGTCTTCTGTTATGACATGACCATAGGGAACATAGCTAAAACTAGATGTTTCATAGTCGCAAGTGGAAGGATCGTTATTTTCTATATTGACGTCTGATGTTACTGACGCATAATTAAAATTAAAACTTCTGCTGTTTTTTTTTGTACGAATACGAAATGATAGGTGATTCTGTATTATCAAAATATGGAGGTATTTGGCTATGGATGGTAGAGTCATTGAATCTACTAGATAAGTTAATAAAATCAATACCTCTATTTATATATTTTAATTTAAGAAAATGCCGTTGATGATTTTCAGGTTTATCGATACTAGTAAACAGCCTGTGATGACAAAAGGCTGTAATAATACGGGTGTATTTATACAACGGGCTGAAACATGAAATTTGATCACACTCCAGAAAAAAAATCATATAGTTTACTTATTGTTATATGACCAATTTTGCATAATAATTGATGTCTACCATTATTTTTTATTATAGATAACAGATCAGCAAGTATATAATTTATACGATGTTTTATACGTAAATTACAGTTCAGTCTTTCTGTTGTTCCGTTGTTTTCCTCTTATAGTTTAGGAACTACTTCTACCGTATATTACAGTTGAGCCCAGGATCGAACACCATTTCACTTGCAGTACCAATTAGGGCTCCCCAATCTAGTCCAGATCTGTTGAGTGTAGGAAGGTGTCAAGATTAAAATAGCGTGAAGACATTTTCAGGAAATACAAGTGAGAATCTAGTGGCAATGAATTATCTCCCCTGAGTAAAACAAATTTTATCTGCAACTTTTTTAATTGATTTTCATTGATCGATTTTTTTTTTAATCACATAGAATTATGTTAAAATTTTCAAATATATATTTAAACTCAAAATCTAAAAATGAAATATTCACATAATTACATTTTTTCTAATCGCGTTGAAGACCCTTTGGTGGCCTTAAATTGGTTGTTATCTGCTCTTTGGTCAGGTTGTTGTCTCTTTGACATATTCCCCATTTCCATTCCCAATTTCATTTGGTGATTAAATGTAGTCCAAATAATTATGATGTCTTGAAAGGCTATTTTATTGTTTTGTTGTGACGCCATGCTGTCACAGCGAAAAAAAATCAAATAGCCTTTAAGAAGTCATAATTATTTGGACTAGTGATGTTGCTGAATACAACTTTATTTTCACGCGGACAAAGTCAGTGTTTAAAATTTGTGAATAAGGATTATGATAATCTGATTTATAAACATAAATGAAAACTGGTTGGTTGAAGAAAAGAAAGTTTTTAGTCAATTTTCTTGGTAATAAATCTAAACAGCAACCTCCAATATTTAATCAGTCTAATAAGTTGCTGCATTCTACTTCATTGCAATTACTTTTTCTTGAACTTTAATATTGAAAATGGTGTTATAGATTATCTATGGTTTTTCAAACGAGAGGGTGTTTCTCAGCTACAATCTCATCGTAGGGCGAAAGCCCTGAGATGAGATGTGGATGAGAAACATCCTTGAGTTTGAAAGACCATTGATAATCTGTTTATTGCTATTTTGCCTATGAGGTCGTTCATGTTTACATTGACTACGTCACATGCGACTTAGTTTCTGACGATAATTTTCCATCTCAAGCGAGTAGCATGATATGAAAAATTATCACAAAATAAGATCAAAGGAAAAATGCACAAAATAGCGATTAATACAATTATAATTGCTCAGTTTAAAAAAAAATTTGAAAAAAACAACTAATTTGTCAAAAAGTACAATGTGTCTGGACTCAATCACTAATTTAGACAAAAAATTGAAATATGTTTTTTTCTGTTTCAAACATTTTTAAAAGTGGAATTTTGATACCAGATTTTGCTATAAGCAGTCAATTTGATTAAATTTTGAGAAAATAAACTTAAAAATATAGCTATGTATTATTGGCTTGCAAGTCAATAATTCAACCTCATTTGAATCCGTATTCATGCGACTTTCATTAATCCCTTAGCTGGAGATGGGTCATATATGTGCTAATACATTGAAAAATGAAACAAGGGAGCCACCTGGATTAACCATTATGTTGACTGATACGACCAACAAAAAATATTCTAATACAACGGGTATAAACAAGGATTTACATGATTTTACATATTTTATATTATCTATGACATGAAAGCAAACAGACCCAGAAAACTCTCATTATGAGATCTATTACATGTGCTTGTCTGTATATTTATATTTATGTATATTTGGGTCATTGACCATCAGCATTCCTCAAAGGTTAATTATATGGCATAGAGTCTAAAAATAAGTATATGAAACAATTCAATTGAGAAAATTAACGGCCTAATTTATAACAAAACAATTTACAAAAAAACAAATATGACAAGACATGAACCAAGGACAACCACTGAACTACTGGCTCCTGACTTGGGACAGGCACATAAAGAATGAGGCTAAGACAGTTTGTCATAGGGCTATTCCAGGGGAAGATAGGGGCTGTGGATTAGACACCTCATGATTTTTTTTCTGTGGATAACAGTAGGGAAATCAAATGCAATTCTGATACAAATAAAAAATGTGTTGTCTACAACCTGTTTTTATATTACAGAAAATGGAATGTAAAGAAGGAAAGCGACAAAAAAGACCAACTATTGAATACTACCGTATACCTGGTAAGAAATCAAGCCTTCAGCTATGTAGTTTAAGTTTAAACCCTTTGATTATTAAAGGAGAAAGAATGTTAAGGCTACTTTCTTAGCCCTTTAAATTGAAAATAAAAAAGTATATTGAATCTATCTAATAACACTAAATCCTAATAGCCTAGGTGGATCTCTCATATTCTAAGGTAAAGATAAGCCTAAGTGGAACCAGGGATCGTCTTAAGCACTGGCCCAAGGCCAGTAGAATTTCGATGGGCCAGTTGAACATAAAGACTACTGGCCCCATTGGCCATTACATTTGACTCTATTTTCACTTAGATAGTATTATTAGGGCAATTTTTATTTGAGTTGGGCCAGTAAATTTACGCTCTAACTGGCAATATTGGCCATACTTTTAAATTTTGTTAAGTCAACCTCTGTGGAACTCTCATATTCTAAGGTAAAGATAAGCCTAGGTGGAACTCTCATATTCTAAGGTATTGATAAGCCTAAGTGGAACTCTCATAATCTAAGGTAAAGATAAGCCTAGGTGGAACTCTCATAATCTAAGGTAAAGATAAGCCTAGGTGGAACTCTCATATTCTAAGGTAAAGATAAGCCTAGGTGGAACTCTCATATTCTAAAGTAAAGATAAGCCTAGGTGGAACTCTCATATTCTAAGGTAAAGATAAGCCTAGGTGGAACTCTCATATTCTAAGGTAAAGATAAGCCTAGGTGGAACTCTCATATTCTAAGGTAAAGATACCTTAAATTAAACTTTTCCATGTGAACATTTGAATTTTACAGACAAGTTTCAAGAATGGTTATTACTGTAACTGTTAGCTTTTATATTATTCATCGGACAAATTTCATCCTGGAGATAAACATGGGGAAAACCACTGTAAGACACAATAACTTTTGTGGTCGTGGTATTCAGAAGGTAGCAATTTTCATGAATTATTTGGTTAACTAAAACTACAATGGATATATATAATATTTCTTGAATTCATCCAATACAAGATTTGAGAAGGAATAATCTTACTAACTCATGAATTTTATTTTCATTAAAATGCATTGTTAAATGCAAAAACTTAAAAAATAAAAGTGTTTTTATACGCCCGTTTACGGGACGTATTATGGTATACCGTTGTCCGTCCGTCTGTCCGTCCGTCCGTCTGTCCGTCCGTCCGTCGTCAACATGTGGGTCATTAACTCAAAAATGCTTTAACCAATTTGCATAAAACTTTGGTGAATTGTTTATATCTATTGACATGAGCTCCCTTTCGTTTTTTATAAATTTAAGATTTTATGTTTCCGAGTTATTGGGTTTTATTCATTAAAAAAAGGGGGATTTTCCAGTTTTCTGACAATAACTCGAGAATGCTTTCACCAACTTGCAAGAAATTGTGGTGAATTGTTTATATCTATTGACATGAGTTCCCTTTTGATTTTTAAATATTTTAGATTTTACATTTCCAAGTTATGGGGTTTTATTCATTAAAAAAAGGGGGATTTTCTAGTTTTCAGACAAAAAATCAAAAATGCTTTCAGCAGTTCTTATGAAACTTTGGTGAATTGTTTATATCTATTGATGTAAGCTCCGTTTAGAATTTTATAAATTTTACATTTTACATTTCTGAGTTATGGGGTTTTATTCATTAAAAAAGGGGTGATTTTCCAGTTTTTGGACAATAACTCAAAAATGCTGTCAGAAATTCTCATGAAACTTTGGTGAATTATTTATATCTATTGATGTAAGCTCCCTTTACATTTTCATAAATTTTTAATATGACATTGAGAATTAATTGAACTTTAATTGTTTATAGTCTGACAACAGATTTACTAAGTATTGCGCAACAGCAAAGTGTAATGCACAACAGCAAGAAATCTTTAATTGAATATAAATTCAATTCATATAACCAATTTCAAGTTCTTTGACTACATTTATTCAGAAACCTATAATATGTTAAATATTTAATACAATCCAAATTCAGACCTGTATCAAGCTTGAATATTGTGTCCATTTTTGTCCCAACTGTTCAGGGTTGGACCTTTGCGGGCGTATCCAGCTGCGCTCAGCGAAGCAGTTTATTTAGATTAAATAACATGCACTTAAATCAGGTTGTTGGTTTTCTTGTTTGAATTTTTTTTTACATATTTTCATGCCGAGGCTATTTAAAGCTTTTTATTTGGTATTGGTTTTGCTCATTGTTGAAGGCCATACAGTGACCTAGCTGTAGTTGCTAACATCTCTGTTATATGATGGATAGTTGTCTCATTGGCAATCATACCACATGTATCTTCTTATTTAAAATCTGTAAGCAAATGTGAGTTAATTAAAGAAGGAAACTAAAATTGCTTTCTATTATTAAAAAAGTTACTTTCACTGTATTTTGCAAAGTCATAGTATAAACCATACAATGAAATCTAAATATGTCTATTTATAGCATCAAGATCTAGTCGCACTGTTGCGTTAAAAGAGTCTGATGATGACAACAATAACATCAATGACCTGGTCATTAGAGTCGACAGAAATCTCTTTGAGAACACAAATGATAATTGTATAAATAGAAATATCAGAAAAAATCAAGATATTCCAGAAAAGCATGTTCAAAGCAGTAAGTAACATTACAGTAAACACAAGATGACTCAGTAAAACATCTCTCTTTTTGGTGTTAAGTATATCACTGGGGTGAAACCAAGTGATTGCTGGTGATTTTTGGTGAGAACACTATGAAGTTGTAATATGATATCTTTTAATATATACACGAAGATATTCCAAAGTGATTCTTCCAGCAAAAGAGTGATTTTTAGGCAAATAAACGTATGTACTGAACTATTGTACCCCGACAGACCCCACTCTTAGGTTCATTCAGTAGTAAAGTATCTTTAGACATCAATAACTTGTCAAACCTTCATATGTAATAGGAAACTGTAAAAAAATCTCTTAAATGGTTAAGAGAAAACATCCAGAGCTAAGTTTTTGAACACTGTTTTTTTCAATTTTTTGTTACATTATTTTACTGATTAAGGAATAAAACCACTAATTCATAACTCCATTGCTATCTACGTTAAATTATGCAATTTCAAGCAGTCATAGCTGTTTTGTCTTAAGTTCAGACAAAGTGACAGTCATTTCATGTCAAAACTATACCTTATACTGACTTGTGCTAAAAAATTCAATATACCTTTAATTGCATATTAGAGCATATGGTTCCCGGAAAGTTGGTAGTACAAAAACGGGTACTTCTGATCTGAACATCAGGGTCGACTTAGATTTGATTAACTTTGGGTTACTCGGGTAAAACTTTTTACGTAACTGCCCAAGCGCACTAGACAGTTATATCGACCATTAACTTACAAGTAGATTTACTTTTATAAATTTTGACTTGGATGGAGAGTTGTCTCATTGGCACTCATACCGCATCTTCTTATATCTATAAACTCTTCAAACCCTTCAAAATGGAGCATTACATAGGATTTTTTAATAGTACTGTTGAAAAATATTAAAATTCCCTCTTCAATAAACAAGTCCACGATAATGCCATTGCTATATAAATATGCTATTTTGCCGGCTTTTCTCAAGGTACTTTAATCAGAGACAGCAAAATAGCATATTTTCTAGTTTGCCGGCAGGGGCAAAATAGCCACTGCTTTATCAAATCGTACCAAATAGATGAAAACATTTTCATTTTGTATTGAATCAATTATTAACTGAGCTGCTTTTTTTATATTTTGGTTTTATAAAGTTGTTATTTTTGCCATTTGTTACCCAGTGTAAGATACAAGTAGCTTAAATTTGAAGATATTTTTTTTTCAGTTTTTACTTACTTCACTTGTTCTTCCATTTTGTTTTTTTACTCTACTCAACGAAACCTGCCTACGAGGTAGGTAGAACTCGACTCGGGTCAAAAGGTTAATTTGATGACGTTTTAGAGAAACTCTGCCCGTTCGATTTAAACTCTACTGACACGAGAAACCCGTGTTTATCAAATCGAAGTCAACCCAGGGCGCATATGCCCTCCTTTATTAATTTTATATTTTTTTTGTTATTATAACAAGCTTTCATCAAGGTTTCTACAGTGAGTCAAAGTCTCTAAGCTTTCATTTTATACCAAACTTACCCAAACATTTTACTTATTGACAAAGCTACAGCTATGACTAGGAACTGTTTTGTTTAAAATATGAACCACTTTCTTGTATGCTCTTTCAGACCAGGCCTGAATTAGTGGTTCTATACAGATAGGGACTTAAATATTTTGCAGTTAATCTTAAGATACAGTCTGAGTTACAGTTTTTAAACAACAATTACTTTGACAAACCTTCATGAATTTTTTTTTATAAAACTTGAATAAAAGCTTCTTCATGATCAGGAAAAAGCCTGGTTTTTTTTCTCCATTTGTCGGTATCTTTTTTTTTCATAAATGGACTTATTTAATTTTTTGCTCCTCCCAAAAAAATCCTGGAGATTAGATTGTGTGTGTTTGAAAACAAATGGTTATAGATTATAACTTGAGTATTGAGATAGAAGATAAAATAGAAGATCAAGGGAACGAAAAGAAGCCTATTGTTTTTTTGTTCAATAGATCAAAGGACAAGATCACTGTTTTCGAAAATAAAAAAAAAATAATGAAAAAATGGTTTCCTGATGGAAATATGAGTTTCCCTTGCTTGATTAGATTTAAACTTACACATATTGAAGATATATGAAAGGAGGAGATTCCTATTAATTTTGGGGTCAATAGTTCAAAGGTCAAGAACACTGTTACTTTTGGAAAAAAAAATCAGGATTCAGGATGGTAATTTGGAGTTTCCTTACTTGATTGGAATGAAACTTATATAAATAGAAGATATAGGGAATGGGAAGATGCCTATTTTTTTTTTGGGGTCAATTACAAACACAAAAACTTTTAGTTTATTTAGATATGCATATATTTCTATATCCACTAGATCATAGATATTGGATTTAAAATAAGATACAGTATTACAAATTCAAATTTTAAGGGTCGAATTTGGACCTCCATGACCCTACTCTTTAATTGTTGCTTCAGTACAAAAATGTATCTCCTTTGAAAATTATAAAAAAAAACAGTGTTCTTTTAATTTAAGTTAGAATATTGGTAACACTTTTCATATCAGCACTTTGCATAAAATTTGTCATTATTTTATGAATTTAATTAACAAGGTGTTGATGCCACACTCTTTTGATTGCAGATAGCACCTTGCAGACCGAAAAGAAGAACATTGACCCTAGGACAAAAATAAAATTTAGATTGTTTGATGTTGCCTACCTACCCACCTTAAAAGCAGCCTACATGAACAATTTTATAACACAAATCATTTCAATGATTTTTTTTAAAGATATTTTCCTGCTCTAACGTTGTTTTCTTGTTTAAACATGTAACTTATATCGTTGGCAAAAAAATCCCTACCTACCTACCCAACCCTACAAGGCATGGGTAGGCAACATCAAACAAAGAATTTTTTAAGGGTTGCCCTATGTGTTTTACTATGTATATAATTATGACACTTTCAATAATCAATAATAGAAATGTCATTAGATGCAATATAAAGATAAGGAGAGGTGGTATGATTGCCAATGAGACAAATTTTCACCAGAGACCAAATATTAATAATGTGAACAACTACAGGTCAGTATACAACCCTGAACAATGAGTAAAACACATACTGTATAGTATAGCCATATGAGACAAACACGTACTGTATAGTATAGCCATATGAGACTCCAGGGATGATGAAATGTGAAACAATTCAAAAGAGAAAACCAAATGCCTGATTTACATGTATCATTATTTATGCTATTGCTAAACAGAAATGATGTCAAACAACCACCCACAGGATAACAGGCTCCTGGCAGGCTCATGAAGAATGTGGTGTAAGGGTTACAACTTATTTTACCTTAAAGTTGTGGTCACATCAGTTTGAAACTTAGTACACATGTACACTTACTACATTATGGTGTGAACTTTTAGAAATACATTGTTTATGCCAAATAAGGGTTTCGATTGAATTTTATAAGTGCACTGATATGATAATTTTGGTGGGCATGGTATCCTATGGGCACAAATCCTTGTTTTATATTTTATAGATAGACAACATAGCAATGACCAGAGGGCAGAAAAAGACTTAGATCATGGTCATATAAGTGTTAGCAACATCAGCTCCGATGAATCACCAACAAAGGCATCCACACCACACAGACAGATTAGTGTTGATTTAAGTTCTTTAAAGAATGTAGTACATAGACATATTAATGTAGAAATATTAAGTCACAGGTTATAAAGACAGATACGAGTAAATAAGTTTTTATCATGTCACAAGCCATCAGAAGTCAGGGTACTTTTCAAAGCTTACAGAAATCAAGGTTTGCTATTAATAATTGTAACAATAAAGTTATATGTGAAATTATATTTATTTATAGATTATCGATGGTATATCAAACTAAAAGGTGTTTCTCAGCTACAATTTCTCTGACGGGAGACAGCCGTGAGGTGAGATGTAGCTGAGAAACATCCTTCAGTTTGAAAGACCATTAATAATCTGTTTATTACCGTTTTCCTAGGCAACATCAATGGAGTAGACTTTTGATGTCATGCATTCTCTTTCTACTTGACAAATGAAAAAAACCCACATCACTGAAGTAATGTGATATAAAAATTATCACCAAAAAAGAAATCAAAGCAAAATTGGAGAAAATAGCAATAAATTTATAATGTATTCAAGTAAAACATAGTAACCTAAGAGAATTCAGGAAAAAAAACTTACAGATGTTTCCTTATAACTATTGTTGACCATTGATGGGTCAGATAATATTTCCTTTTATTCCATATTTATAAAGATGAATGTTAACACTTCATTTACAATTTAGATATAAGCAATAAATTAGGGGTGAGCTAAAACATACCAAAAATATGTTTGGAAGATTTTGATAAGACATTTTGAAACATAATGTTCCTTGATGCATACTTATAGATTTTTTATATTTTTGCAGCCTTTTAGAATTAAGAATGAAACCTGATCTAAAAAGAGATTTGGGTAAACATCAATAAGACCAAAATAAATCATAAATAGTTTACAAAAAAGACAATTAAAAGAGTGGTGGAAGTTACCAAACTCGTAAGTCGATGACAAAATGACAACGTCATGGCATAAAAAGAATTACCAAAAGACAAACAACACTATATAAAACAAGAGATAGAAAACTAAAGACTAAGCAACATGAACCCTAAAGGTCACAATAAGGTCTTTAACGATGGGGACTAGCTTAAAGTATAGACTAAATAACTGACACCAGAGCCATATTATTTTATGTATTTGACTTTATGATGATAATTTCAGAATGTTCCAAAGAGGAATACTTGAACATTTTAAAGATTATCTTGAAAGATGTATTGACTGGCAGAGATATATTACTTGGTGCAGAATTCTGCAGTATTTTGTTAGTTTCTTATCTTCATAACATAGCAGGGGTTGAATTGAATTAGGTCTGATGTCCTGAACTGTCGGACTTTGTGGTAAAAAAAACTCTAAGACGATGGCTTCCCTGGCTATTATGACACAAGTGGGAGATCTTCGTATTAAATATCAATAAAAACTTGTCTGTAGTTATTTATGTCTTTATATTATTCACTTACACCATGGACACAGGTTTGTTAATGTTTGCCTTAAACAAATGTTATGAAACTTATACACAATGCTTATTACCACATAACACAGATTAAGATTGAATTTTGGTGGCGTCACTTTTACCGTTCTAGAGTTATGCCCCTTTACAAATGAAAAAATTGCCTTATTTTTCGTTTCCGTTTTCTTACTTAAGTTTGCCTCAACCAAATGTTATGAAACTTATACACAATGCTTATTACCACAAAACTCAAATCAGGAACAAATTTGGGTAGCGTCACTTTTACTGTTCTTGATTTATGTCTTTTTATAACGTTTTATGCAAGCGGGGGGCATCATCTGTGTTCCATGGACACATTCCCCATTTATTGGACAAGTGTCATATGGAAAATTGAACCCCCTGAAATTTGAACCCGGGGTCAATGGAAAATTGAACTTCAGTCTGGGATCAAAATCCCATATGGAAAATTGAACCCCCTGTATATCCTTTAAATAAATGTCAAATGTCCATTAGGATAAGCATTATAACTCTATAAAGTAGTTTGTATAGCTATAACAATTTGAAAATCTGAGGTCTGTAGAGGGGGGTTCAATTTTCTATGGCTAAATAAAAAAAATTTTAAATATTTTTTAAGATGTTTTATTCCAACCAAGTACTTATTAATGCATTATTACTATTTAACATAGCTGGAATAGCTATGACAATTTGAAAATCTGAGGTCTTTAGGGGGGTTCAGTTTTTATGGTAGGGGGTTCAATTTTCCATGGCTGAGTATAAATGTTTAAAAATATTTTTATGCCCCCGCCGTAGCAGAGGGGGCATTAAGTTTTACCCTTGTCTGTCTGTACGTACGTACGTACGTCCCAAAATTGGTTTCCGTTCTCTAACTTTAGTTTGCCTCAACCAAATGTTATGAAACTTATACACAATGCTTATTATCACAAAACACAGATCAAGTTTGAATTTTGGTGGCGTCACTTTAACCGTTCTAGAGTTATGCCCCTTTAGAAATGGAAAAATTGCTAAATTTTTATTTTCTTCTAAATATCAAGTTATTTTTTAAATTGGAGTTATCTTTCTTTTTCCATGATTATAGTTGATTCAACTACAATCAATGCTTTATACAATGCAATGTTTAATTTTGACTTCCACTGATAAAACACAGATCAAGTTGAATTTGGGTAGTGTCACTTTAACCATTATTGAGTTATGCCCCTTTATAAATCGAACGATTGCAAAATTTTTAGTTTCCATTCTGTAACTTAAGTTTGCCCCAACCAAACATTATGAAACCTATACACAATATTCATTACCACAAAACTAAGATCAAGTACAATTTTTTTGTGTCTGTTTTCTAACTTTAGTTTGCCTTAACCAAATGTTATGAAACTTATACACAATGCTTATTACTACATAATACGGATTAAGTACGAAATTTGGTGGCAACACTTTTACCATTCTTGAGTTATGTCCCTTCATAAACATAAAAATTGCTGAATTTTTCGTTTTCGTTCTCTAACTTTAGTTTGTCTCAACCAAATGTTATAAAACTTACACGCAGTGCTTATTACCACAAAACTCAGATCAAGTTCAAATTTGGGAAGCGTCACTTTTACCGTTCAGTTATGTCCCTTTATAACTATATGATATGCAAGCGGGGGCATCATCTGTGTCCACATGTGTCCACTATCCACATTTATCTAACATGTTTTATTCCTACCAATTACTTATTAACGCATTATTACAATGTAACACACCTGGAATAGCTATGACAATTTGAAATTCTGAATTCTTGCGTGGGGGGGGGGGGGGTCAGTTTTCAATGGAAATTAAGGGGTTCAATTTTCCATGGCTGAGTAAAAATGTTTGAAAAATATTTTCTAACATGTTTTATTCCTACCAAGTACTTATATATTTTAGAAAATATTTTTAAACATTTGTACTCAGCCATGGAAAATTGAACCCCCTTCAATGGAAAACTGAATCCCCCTGTATAGATCTCAGATTTTCAAATTTATATTTATTCCAGCTATGTTATATAGTTAGAATGCATTAATAAGTACTTGGTTGGAATAAAACATGTTAGAAAATATTTTTAAATTTTTTTACCCCCTACCATGGAAAACTGCCCCCCCTAATAGACCTCAGATTTTTAAATTGTCATAGCTGTTCAAGCTATGTTACATAGAAATAATGCATTAATGAATACTTGGTATGAATAAACATATTAGAAATGATGTTGAAACATTTTTACTTAGCCATGGAAAATTGAACCCCCCATCAGATATCAGATTATCAAGTTATAGCAGCATTTTAAAACAACTTATACCATTATGTTATGTTCTAATTAGTTTTTTGATTGAATAAATAAGGGGGTTCAATTTTCCAAACAGGTGGGGGGGGGGGGGGGGTTAATTTTAGAAAAATTACCCTGGGGTGACACAGGCTGAAATTCTGAAATTAGAAAAATAAAGAAATTAGTAATCATCTACAAAATTTAAAAAAAAATACATTTAAAATTGTTTTTGAAACAACTCCGCCTATTGAAACTAAACTTGTTTTAAATGTGATCATCAAGGCAACAAAGTAGACACTCATACCTCAGTGATATGTACAGATCTCTAGTTAAACACAAAGTAGACACTCATACCTCAGTGATATGTACAGATCTCTAGTTAAACACAAAGTAGACACTCATACCTCAGTGATATGTACAGATCTCTAGTTAAACACACACAAAGAAGACACTCATACCTCAGTGATATATACAGATCTCTAGTTAAACACAAAGTAGACACTCATACCTTAGTGATGTGTACAGATCTCTAGTTAAACACAAAGTAGACACTTATACCTCAGTGATATGTACAGATCTCTAGTAAAACACAAAGTAGACACTTATACATTTGTACCTCAGTGATATGTACAGATCTCTAGTTAAACAAAAAGTAGACACTAATACCTCAGTGATATGTACAGATTTCTAGTTAAACACAAAGTACACACTCATACCTCAGTGATATATACAGATCTCTAGTTAAACACAAAGTAGACACTCATACCTCAGTGATGTGTACAGATCTCTAGTTAAACACAAAGTAGACACTCATATTTCTACAGATCTCTAGTTAAACACAAAGTAGACACTTATACCTCAGTGATATGAACAGATCTCTAGTAAAACACAAAGTAGACACTTATACCTCAGTGATATGTACAGATCGCTAGTTAAACACAAAGTAGACACTAATACCTCAGTGATATGTACAGATTTCTAGTTAAACACAAAGTAGACACTTATACCTCAGTGATATGTACAGATCTCTAGTTAAACACAAAGTAGACACTTATACCTCAGTGATATGTACAGATCTCTAGTTAAACACAAAGTAGACACTTATACCTCAGTGATATGTACAGATCTCTAGTTAAACACAAAGTACACTCATACTTCTACAGATCTCTAGTTAAACACAAAGTAGACACTTATACCTCAGTGATATGAACAGATCTCTAGTTAAACACAAAGTAGACACTAATACCTCAGTGATATGTACAGATCTCTAGTTAAACACAAAGTAGACACTAATACCTCAGTGATATATACAGATTTCTAGTTAAACACAAAGTAGACACTCATACCTCAGTGATAAATACAGATCTCTAGTTAAACACAAAGTAGACACTCAAACCTCAGTGATGTGTACAGATCTCTAGTAAAACACAAAGTAGACACTCATACTTCTACAGATTTCTAGTTAAACACAAAGTAGACACTTATACCTCAGTGATATGTACAGATCTCTAGTTAAACACAAAGTAGACACTTATACATCAGTGATATGTACAGATCTTTAGTTAAACACAAAGAAGACACTTATACCTCAATGATATGTACAGATCTCTACTTAAACACAAAGTAGACACTCATACATCAGTGATATGTACAGATCTCTAGTTAAATACAAAGTAGACATTTATACCTCAGTGATATGTATAGATCTCAAGTTAAACAAAAAGTAAACACTGATACCTCAGTGATATGTTCAGATCTCTAGTTAAACACAAAGTAGACACTCATACCTCAGTGATATATACAGATTTCTTGTTAAACACAAAGTAGACAGTTATACCTCAGTGATATGAATAGATCTCTAGTTAAACACAAAGTAAACACTTATACCTCAGTGAAATGTACAGATCTCTAGTTAAACACAAAGTAGACACTAATACCTCAGTGATATGTACAGATTTCTAGTTAAACACAAAGTAGACACTTACACCTCAGTGATATGTACAGATTTCTAGTTTAACACAAAGTAGACACTCATACCTCAGTGATATGTACCGAGATCTCTAGTTAAACACAAAGTAGACTTTTATACCTCAGTGATATGTACAGATCTCTAGTTAAACACAAAGTAGACCCTTATACCTCAGTGATATGTACAGATCTCTAGTTAAACACAAAGTAGACACTCATACCTTAGTGATATGTACAGATTTCTAGTTAAACACAAAGTAGACACTCATACCTCTACAGATTTCTAGTTAAACACAAAGTAGACACTCATACCTCAGTGATATGTACAGATCTCTAGTTAAACACAAAGTAGACACTTATACATCAGTGATATGTACGGATCTCTAGTTAAACTCAAAGTAGACAGTTATACCTCAGTGGTATGTACAGATATCTAGTTAAACACAAAGTAGACAGTTATACCTCAGTGATATGTACAGATCTCTAGTTAAACACAAAGTAGACACTTATACATCAGTGATATATACAGATCTCTAGTTAAACACAAAGTAGACACTTATACATCAGTGATATGTACAGATTTCTAGTTAAACACAAAGTAGACACTAATACCTCAGTGATATGTACAGATCTCTAGTTAAACACAAAGTAGACACTCATACCTCAGTGATATGTACGGATCTCTAGTTAAACTCAAAGTAGACACTTATACCTCAGTGATATGTACAGATATCTAGTTAAACTCAAAGTAGACACTTATACCTCATTGATATGTACAGATATCTAGTTAAACACAAATTACATTAAACACTTCTCCATTTATAGTATTTATGTAAACATCTTACCACATTTTCACTTTTTTTTTGCATTTTAGAAAGATGTTTGCAAAGAAAAGGGTGAGAGACTTTGTATCCAGACACTTCTAATTGGACTAGAAGATCTGGTAAGGGATTACACAAATCCTTGTGTCAGTGAAGAAATATGGAAGAAGTTTATGACTTTCTTAGTAGAACTTTTCTTTCTTATTGAGGAAGAAATCAGCATTTGTTCTCTTTATTTGCTACCATTGATATCACATGCTTTAATATTACTAGTTTGTTTGTCAAGAGCTTTTAGGTTTTATTATTTTATTTTATTGTGTTTTTCTTAAAAAATACAAAAGCAATTTGTTTTATTCTAGTTGTAACATTGTCATTACATTTTATGTTTAAATCATGATTTTACAAATTATGAAAATCTTTCTAACTTAAAAAAACATAAGAATGTTTGAACATTAAAGCATAGTGCATTACAATTTTTATCAATATTAATAATATTTGAAAATTTTCAGAATCATTATAGTAGATTTTTATAATTAAAAAGTAAAACTGTTTCAAGAGTCAATTTCAATATTTTTTTTTCTATTATTTTTAATCGTTACAAGATTCAATTTCGCGCATCATTGATTTGATTTAAAGCTTCAGAATTGATAAAGTACATTAAATGTACAAAAACAAAATTAATGATGACTATTTTTTTTTTTTTTTTTTTTAAAGTCTATTCAATAGGAAAATGCATTCATTGTTTAAATGATCATGCTATTATGAGAATTAGTGTGAAAGATTTTTAATTTTTTAAAGTGTCCAAAAATGTATTTTTGTCTCATCTATGATGAAAGTTGAGGAAGTCTTAGTGCTGTTTATGACATGGAAAGCATCAACAAATATTAAATTTGTAATAAGGTCATACAGGAAACATATAACTGAATGTTAGCAGTTTATTTTTTTAAATCAAGGAGACATTTATGTAAGTTTAAGTAATCAGAAAAAAAACAAAATCATCAAAATGTCAATAATGTTATCTATTTGAAGGGAAAGATTAAATATTCAATCAAAATCTATAAAATTTATCACTTATATTAGTCACTGATATAAGTATTAACTGTTCTTAATCAATTGATCTTACATCAGTCTCTTGTTTATGCTGTATTTTTTTTTTTAAATGTCAACTGATATTGATCTACAATCTAACTTTTAACTATATCAATTACATACCTACCTTTGTAAATTTGTCCAAAAAGAATACAAATTAAGGATGGTCGCTACTCTTGTTTTTGACTTTTTTTTCAGATATTCGGGATTGTCTAGTTTTATCCATGTAGTGCCAATAAAAGTTTTGTCCGCTAACCCTTACTTTTCTTTTCATAATTTTTATAATAAATAGTTTAAAACTCCATTTTTTAAAAATCTTATGAAATCCTTGTTATTTTTTCATTGTTTTTGAAAGAAAAAGGTGCCAATGTTAAATGTATGAAAAATCTAGAGAGAATCACTTCCCGCCAAATTTTCAATTGATATTATTTTGAAACAGAGGAGCTAACAACCTTAAGCTAACATTAGTTGACCATTAAACACTATACCTTAAATCTTACTTAGTATTGTTGTTTTAAAATTATGTAAGTTTAAACAAAAACATTTTATTTAAAAAAAAAAAGAATAGCCATTGAAGTGTCCCAACAAAAAAATGATCAGGTTTAATTATTGTAAATTGGAGGTAAAGTCAGCTGAACATAACTCAGAGAAGAACTATTACATAAAAACAATATTTGAAAAATACTGCTTGTTTGAATTTGTGATGCTGATTTGGTTGAATTGGTGATATGACACTTGAAGTTTGCAGCTTCACTAAAGCAGTTTTGATTTTAATATCTGGTAACGGTTTGAAAATATATTTGAACTGACCGGTTGCAAGAAAATGAGAAAACTCCTGTCAAGGTTTGGTGTCATTAAACTGTTAATTTATAAAATACTTAAGAAATTTCTTTTTAGGCAGATCTTAAGATTCATGTGTTAAATGCCCAGTGGGTGATTTTTAATTTAATTTTGTGTCTCGTGTATATATTTGTGTAAGTACACTTGACACCAGTTCTGGTGTTTTTGTTGTTTGAAAAGAATGTATATTTAGCTCACATGGCCTAAAAAGCCATGTGAGCTTTTGCTATCACTTGGCGTCTGTCGTTATCGTCCATTGTACCTTGTCATAAACTGTTTAAAAATCTTCTTCTCTGAAACTTCTAGGTCAAATGAAATCAAACTTTACCTGAATGTTTCTTATGGTATCTTCTTTAAAATAAATATCCCAGAATTTGATTCATTAACAAACATGTCTGCTGTTGCTTAAAATAAAACATGCAGGTAAAATGCAGTGTTTGGCTTATATTTCAAAAACTAAAGCAGATAGAGCAAATCTAACTGTGGTAAAAATGATCAGCAGGTCATGCTCTAACTACAGAATTTAGAAAAATCAGGACAACCCATTTTTGAGTTATTGCTCAAAGAATCTTTTGATAGTAAAAATGTTTTACAAAATATTATGATCTACAAGACAGTCAACATTGATGAATGGTCAATTGACCCCTTGTAGCAGCTATTGCCCTTGAAGAACTAATTTTAATCATTTTTGCGTTTTTGCAGCAACTATAACAGAGAGAAATTTTAAAACTCAAAAGTTTTCAGGAAAATACGATCATCCTAAAATAATCCGCCATCAAGGCCTAATTTTTCGACCAACGCCTTGTAGAAATTATTTCCCCAGAATGATGATTTTAAAAAATCTCACGTCAGTGTCTCAATTGTCACACTAGTTATAGGATATACTGCCATTTTAGTTTTTGTTTTTTTTACATCAAAAACTTTAATTTATGGGTATACACTATAAACTGTTAAAAAAGATCACCAATACAAGACTTACAAAAATGCCACTAACTAAGATCTCAAATAAGCAAAAATGGCATTTTTTTTACAAGTAGCAATATATATAGTGATCATAGTGAATTTTCTTCGTTTGCATTTTGTAATCTGCAACACCTCCAAAGTCAGGAGCTGAATTTCAACTTAAACAGAATCTCAACAAACTTTAAATTGTGCACCTCCAATTCACTTTGTCACAGCTCAGCTTATAGCATGATACATTTTGGTCTCCAGGCATAAACATTTCAATTTGTGCACAAAATCTTTTGAGCTATAACAATATATTTACCAAACTTGGTTTTTGTAATGCCACATGGGGTGTGGCAGACCTGTATTTGATTGTTAGGACTCTAGGTGAAAGGTCAAGTTCATATAATCAGTCTGAATCAGTTGACAGACTGACATTTGTGCTAAATATTTTCCAAGTGTAATATTTTGAACCATTGGTTCAACTTATACCAGACCATGTTTGATTATGTCCCATGTAAAGGTTTCAGGAAGATATCTTCGAACAATATGTCCAATCTCCACAAAACATAGCTTGAAAGTAAAGCATGGAAAAAAATGCTGTTGATGTTTTGGTAACTAGGTTTAAGGTCACAGTACCTATGAAAAGACTTACATTTTGGGAAAGGTTTTGTTGCCAGAATATATTTTATGAGCCGTCAATCAGACTTTTACCAAACTTTATTAGTTAATATGCCTATGGTTGAAAAAAACCCCTATCGATTTTGAGGTCAAAAATCAGGGTCACAATAGCAATTGATATAAAAAAATATACTGAAATTTAGTCAAATGTTTGTTTTCCACATGTCAAACTTCAAAAATTCCTACACATTTGAACTAGGGATATAAATCAATGATGCTCCTGGAATTTTTGTTTTCAAATAATTTTATGCATTCCCTATAGCAAAACATGAATTTTGCTATATTTACAAAAGATACCAGGCTTGTAATTTGTAACACCAGAGCTACAGTTGGAAGTTGCCAGACACGTGTTTCATCGACATCAGACTCCGTCAGTGGCTCTCAATCACATCAATTGGAAGGCCAAAACAAATACGAAGTTTCATGGTTAAGTGACTGCTTGAAATAAACAAAAATTTTCTAGTGAAATACTCACTTTGATATTGCAACGTCCACATGTCCGTCAGGGAGGGTTCATCTCCCCCGCCCTCATTTCATGGATCAGTGATCAAGGTTAAAGTTGCGTGGTCAAGTCCGTATTTTAGATACTATACATATTAGGTCAACTATATTTGGTGTATGGAATGATTGTAAGGTGTACATGTCCAACTAGCAGGTTTCATCTTACTATACCCTAATTTTCATGGTTCATTGGACAAATGTTTAGTTTTTGTGGTTTAGACTATTTCTCGGATACTATAAACAATAGATCAATTACCATGATGTATGGAGTGATTGTAAGGTGTACATGTCTGTCTGGCAGGTTTCATATGACTTTGACCTTATTTTCATGGTTCATTGGTCAATGATAAGTTTTCGCAGTTTTAGCAGTTTGTCAGATATTATAAGCAATAGGTCAACTATATTTGGTATATGGAATGATTGTAAGGTGTACATGTCTGTCTGGCAGGTTTCATATGACCTTGACCTAATTTTCATTGTTCATTGGTCAATATTAAGATTTTGTAGTTTGATCTGTTTTATCAGGTACTACAAGTGGTAGGACCACTATATCTGGTGTACTGAATGATTGTAAGGTGTACATGTCTGTCTGGCATGGTTCATCTGACCGTTACATCATTTTCATACAACCTTGATCTTGTTAAGTATATGTGATACTTGTAGTAAAACCTTCATATTACAAACTTTCAACATAAATTCAATCATATGAATCCAGCCGAGACAATTGAGCGTGTGCACTCTTGTGATGAGTGACGTTGCTGATAAAAAAAAATAAAAGAAAATGTCTTTCAAAGCGTCTAACGGTAGCACAAGCAGGTGGAATGTGTTAAGACTTGATTATGAGAAAGGAGTCAACATAACCAACCAAGATAAATCTTCTAAAACAGTTGACTACTGTAAATTCAGATATTATTGCGTGCATTTATTATTGCGATTTTGCCAATTTAGACCAAAGTGCGATTATTATTTGGGTACCTGTAAAGTGCGAAACGAAATAGAAACGGAACGGAACAAAACAAAACGAATCGAAACGAAACGAAATAGCGCAAAACGAAACGAAATAAATATTTTTTTTAGAATTTCAACTTAAATGTCCCCGCTTAATGTCTTTATATGTACCAATTTGTCTTTATATGTACCAATTTATACAGAAAGACAGTGTGAACTGATATATATGGGTCCGAAAAGTGGGATTATCGGGATATGATTGAGTGGTTTGAATGTTTTTCTGTGGACTGTTTTTGTGTGAGCAGGTTTACACTCGGCTTATATTTACATGTAAAGAACATTACACATAGTAATATTGGTTTATTTGTTGTCGTGAACATGAAATATTGGCTCTCTGGTTGATTTTAAGCCGCGAGTCACCCATATCGAACGAAAGCTTTAATAATAGATCATTGTTTACGCTTTATTTCGCTGTCAGGTCTAGGTATGGAAGTGTAAACCTAGGTTGGTTACAAGTGTTGGCTGTCTTCTCAGGTGAATTGGAGGTTGGGGGATAACTACAGTTTGTTTATGTGAGGAAAATTCTGGGCATTTTTGTGAGTTTCAAGAAATTTCGGGTTGGCATTGGTCTTTCGGATCTGCAATGGTCTTGAAAGCAGATTTCGGGTAGCCTTTTTGTCAGAATGTCAGATTTCGGGTACGTGTTTTGTAATTCTATGCAAATTCCCTTTTGTCACATTTTTGTCCAAGTAAAATTGTATTGGATTTATGTCAACTTAAATTTGGATAATTTAGGGTATGATCTGTTTATTTTCTTGATACTTAAGGGTCTCTTGAATATGCAAATGCTGGATAATTTCTGATCTTTTTAGTGAACTCAATCGGAGAATTTCGGGTCGGGTTTTACAATTTCAATCAATTAAGGATTTGACTGTATGCCATGGATGCTATCCTCAGTGAGATCAACTTCTCCGCTATGCACGTGAAAATAAGCAGAAATTGCTAAAATTCCGAAAAATAAAGCCCATTGAAGTGGAATTCATCTTGGGTTTAATCTCCTTTCCTCCGCCGAGTGTGCGTACACTTAGAATTCTTACTGAATATAGCTATTGTACAGTCAGTTGGTGAAAAAATGCGGTTTAGGAACATGTGAGTAGCCATAATCAACATTTTGTAACCATTTAACTGCATACTTTTCTTTGCTCTTAAAAGAATGGTTACATTTTAATGAAATTTCATGTTGCATTTCTGTGATGTATATAATATACACCATTTAGCAACGTGTCGACCACACTAACATACTTTTCAGTGATATTTTTCAACTTAGTAAGGCAATAACGAGCAGGTCATCTATACATATTCCATAGTTGATACAACCTCGGAGTTAAGTAAGATAGTAACTTTATAAGTGGTTGTTCTTTTGTTTTTGGCTCAGACTGCTAAATACGAATATAACTTTGTAAAGGAGATAGATGCACCAGATAAGTTTTATGAGAATTCTTCAGGTATTTCCTGTCTTTTTGTATTACGACTTTAATATTGGTACGGATATTTCATTGTTTTCTAGCAATGAGCAATTTAATATGCATGTCCTATACTTTAATTCTCAATATTTTGGGGGTGAAACCGTAGATTTTTTTATAAGGTCAAATTCAATTATTTATTTTCATTCTGTGTTTCATTTGGGTGCAACAGTACGTGAATGTAAATTCTTGGGTGGAAGGGCAAAGAGAAGGGGGATTATAAGTGGCACGATCATATCTATTTATATCCCAGGTAAATCCGCAAATGATAAAAAAAACTTCCCCAACGTTTAGCCCAAAACTATTAATTTTCAATAATATTAGGATTGAAATAGTTTGCTTCAAATCTTTCAAGCTACTCTCATTGAATGAAGGTTATTTCTCAATCACGGGGACTGGGGGGTCGATCTATACCTGGGATTTTGAGTATTGTAGTGCAGCTGGGAAAACACCCAAATTTTATAAATTAAAACCTTGAGAAAAAATCACGACACTTAATATGTTTCCGATGGCAAAATCATGACCCATTCATAGATTTCTCAGTAAAAACATATTATACAATAAAAATAAGAAGATGTGGTATGAGTGCCAATGAGACAACTCTCCATCCAAGTACAAGATCTGATATCTTAATTTGAATAAAAAACGATAAAACAGCATTTAAACAAATCTATTGTAATTCAGAGGATAAAAATTACTGACCCATTGATATTTGACCTCAGTGAAATTCAGTGTATGGCATTAATATAATTTAATTATAAAAATAGACCCATTCCAGCGGCTTGTCTGTGTATACCTTCCTTTTGTCATATATATAGAACCCCAAAGCAAGATTGAGACCCACGTGCGTGTCCTCAATATCCCAGTTCTGAAATATAGCCCCATTTATATTATTTATCTCAGCCCTTTTTCTTTCTAGGGTAATATTTTACTGTAAAAATTTTATTCATTCAAAACGACGTGTGAAAACTTAACACTAAGGCAGTAAGCACCGGTATGTACGATTGTTGCGATTACAACCCTGTCGCATTTTTCGCAATAATTTCCGAATTTACAGTAATTAATTCTTTGAACACAAAAGATTCTCGGTGTTACAAGATATTTTTATTCATGGTAGATCAAAATTCATATAAGATTGAGCTGAAATTAAATTGCTCCAATATTGAATTTGTGAAGATTGCATAGTGTTGTACCATATCTGTCGAGCATATTTTGAACAGCAAATGCATATTGTGCGTCTTTACACTGCTGGAACATGGAAGCACAGTTTTTTAGGCTGTCCACAAACCTGTAATTCAAAATGAAGAATTCCCAGTACATTTAATCAGATCATATAATATATGTCTCTGTTTAGGTTTTATCGGTTTGTCATGCAGCCATCAATGATGAAAGAAAATTTTTAATATCAAATTTGCAGACTACTATTGATTTTTGTTTCGCTTGATTTTCGTAGGGGTTAGAATTAAATTAAATCTCAGTAGAAGAGACACGAGCTCCCAAAAGAATATCGTACTGTTTCAGATTATGAGGAATTTCTCTTTGGTTTAGACATATGACCATACTAATCATTGGTAAACTCCACATGGACATCCACGGTAGCGGACGTTAATCTTAAACAAACTAACATTATAACAAAAATAGAATAGTGCTATTATGAAAATTGGAAAATACAATTACGGATCCTAAAGCGTTTTTAAAAACTGAAGAAAAATTATCTACCACAAAATATGTCATTAATTTACAAATATTTAAAAAAAAGATTGACAACAAATGGCAAACATTTCTATGAAAGGAATTGTTGAAATACAAATTTAATCGTAAATCATTGATAGAATACACTAGTAAAACTTACCCACACGTATTTGGACTATAGCCTGTAAAAGAACCTTGGACACATTTCACGAATTTTGTTCTGAACTCTGGGTCATTGTAGCATGGTGTTAAAACTTGAATGTCTGAAATGTTCAAATCATTGTTTGTATAGAATAAACTCATTGCTAGATGCTTTATAATATATAGTAGAAAATATAAGTTTCATGACCTTCACATTTCAATGTCATATGATTATACACGGCTAAAGCAGTCAGGATTCTTTTTCCCCATTTCGCCACCTAATTTTTATAACCGTAAAATTTTAACTGTAACATAGACTATTTCAATTTTATACGATTATCTAATGCAAGTGATATACTTACATCTTTTATACTGAACACAGACAGCTGTTTCTATTTCAGCCATCATGTCAATAACAAAATGCATATCTTTACACTTATCCGCCTCCTTACAAATGGTTTTTGTCTTCAAATGTCTGCAATGCAATATACAATATTAACGTATAAATCTATAGAATATGAGAGCGCAATGATTCTGTAAATCATTTTTTTTTGCGGATACTTCATTTCGGGTTTAGCCCTTTCTATCCGACTTCACGGATATTTATTTTTCGCGATTTTCTTATTCCATTGAAGATCCAAGTTTTAAACATTCGCTTTATTGTCCTATTCACGAATGTCACGAACAAAAATCGCTCTCGAAAATTAGTTGTTTCACAGTAGTTGTAATCTTCTACTTCCATATCTGTCTGTGGTTGAAAACTGTAATACTATGTTAACCTAGAGGTCAATTTTTTATTGTTGTTTGGGCGCTTACTCATTTACGTATACCGCACATATCCTTTAATTTATTAACTTTTTCATCCGGTGTTAAGGTAATATTTTGCACTGATATTGGTATTTACAATTATTTCAATATTCTCCTAAATCTAATCCACAGAAAAAAGATCTAGTATTGACAAAAAACATGTTTTAATTGTTCTTTTTAACATTCAATGGAATGCTTGTAAAACATTATTTTAAGTTTAAATACGCAGATTAACATTTTAGTCTATTTTACCAAAGTTTCATTAGTTTCGTTATATACCGATGGTTTACAATTTGTGACAAGACCTAGGTATATATATATATGTATTTATACTATTTAATTACAGAAACATTCACATACTGACATAGCTTGTCAACTGTTTCTACGCTGACATCTTTTAAAGTATCGCCATCATAAAAGAAGCTTCCAACATCTAAAAATCTGCGAGAACAACTAAACACTGGATAGCATTCTTCCGGAACATTCCTTAATGTACCTGCAACTATAACAATGTTTTGTCAGAAAATTCACTAGCCTATCAACACTGAGGTTATGAGGTCGAATTCCGCACGTGGTAGGTGCGCTCGTGCTCGTCTCCTATCTTAATTGACTAGGATTGTCAGTTTTCCTACAGAAGGTCGGTGGTTCTCTCAGGGCACTCCGGCTTCCTCCCAATATAAACTGACTGCCACGAAATAGCACAATATAGTGCTGAAAGTGGCGTTAAACACCAATCAACCATGATGGTAAACTCTAACTTGTTAATGTAGGATTTTTAATGACGATGTTTATAAATTATCTGACATGCCTACAATGTAAAAACTCATCAAGAATACCAGGCTTATAATTTGTTACACGAGACTCGTATAATCAACAGCAGACTCATCAGTAAATCTCGAATCAAAATAGTTGTAAAGCCTTATCAAAAACGATGTTGAAGGGCATTACAACCTCAAAAATACAAAAGTTGTGCCAAATATGACCAATAACTTGTGGTAGAAAACCCTTGTATTACGAGAAATTGAACATTTTATAAACAGTTAATTTAGAGAAAAAGAGCATATAAATGATATTTTATGTCAGCAGAAAAATGCGGACTACTTGGCTGATTTTGTTACGTCTTTATTTAAATTTTGTTCTGAAGTTGGAAACTCGTCTTCATTCATCATATTTTGAATATAACACATCTTAAATACGAAATTACAATCCGCAATTGGTGTGCTAGAAAAAAATTCATAATTTATTTGAAGATGACTCAAATTAAGCTTGTTACCACCGTTATTTTTCATGAAATTCCGGTTGTTATTTGCCAATTAATTTACTCCGTTTAGTCGAGCGTTCTACGCGACCTGTGTTCCAGTCATTTTAATTATAATACAAGCCTTGAGTGATGAAAGGTACATAACTTGAGTTAAGTATTATCTTTATCATACATGTATATATATTTAGTAAAAACTAACAAAAATACGTGGTGATATGACTAGATGTTTATTGTTGCCATAGAAACTATTCGTTATCGATGCGGAATATGCAATATTGTTTGTGATTAAGGTTTAGTCACGTTTCTTCAACATTTGATAATTAGACAAAAAAAAACAAAACATTAAGGATAAGGGGTCCTCATTAGGACTGGCATCTTGATATATACCCGTTATTCACCTATATCAGCTCTAAAATATTTAAAAAGGCCATATTGTTTAAAGATATATATTAAACTTACACACACGTTATTTTTACAATAATTGAATTACAAAATAAAAAAGTTATTCAACAAAAAAATCCATGAATAAAAAAGGAAAATTCAAATCAAATCAATCTGAAAATTTCATAAAAGTGATCAACATGATCAAGAAATAATCTCAAAATGATTTTTTTTTAAATGATTTTTTATTGAAAATAACATGAAGCTTTGGTACTTTTATATAAGCTTAATGACTCAAGCTATTATAAACTGTTAATAGTTCTCAGAATATAAAATGTTTATTTTTATTCAAGATCGCAACATTGTTATCAATAATACATTATTGTGGAAAACAGAGGAGAAAAATATGAAAACAAAGTAAAATAAAAATTAACATGACTGTGCTAGATTATATCGACTTTGAAAAAAATAATATATGAGTAACCAATTATTGTAAAAAAAAATAATTTTGTTAATGTTTTTTAATGAATATCTTTAAAAAAAAAATACCCTTTTTTAACAATATTTTAGTAAAGAACAGGTGAATTAAAGGTAAATATCAAGATGCCAGTCCTTAAGAGGACCCCCTAATCCCTATATATAATGTTGTTTTAGTCTAACTATCAAATGCGGCGTTTTGCATTTGCGCCGATCTGCATTTCACTTGCGCCGATTTTGTCTTTCACTTGCGCCGATTTTGTCTTTCGTATGCGCCGATTGTGCAGGTGAATGTTATTGTTAATTTATCATTACAAACCTCTTCCGTTAGCCAGTTGTACATATGCATGAAGATCAATTTTTTTTTAAATCGGCGCAAATGTCATACGCCCATCAAATGTTGGAGAAATGAGATCTCACCGTGCTAAATATTAGACAAGTACTTAAAATAAAAGATTAAACTTACCCAAGGCAAAACCGACGTTAAAGAGTACCAAAGCCAACATAGTCAGTGTAGTACTTGTTGAAACGAGTTTGATCTAAATGTGTTGTGCTGAATATAGAAATGTCATTTATATTTATATGTGAGCGCGAAATAAGTACAATATTCATAGAGATAATTGACGAATTATGATGTGTTTATTACATAATAAGTTCAATATTTATGGAGATATTTAACAATTAAATGTGTTCATTTGTTTAATATTGTATGGTAAACAAGCTGTTATTTTTATAAATGCCTGCACGTTTTTTATCTACTTTTGTCAAATTTGTTTAAATGCCAAGGTTTTCCAATAAAACTTATCTTGCTTGAGTTTACTGATAACAATGCTTTAAATTTGATATAATGTTATTTTGTTTTGTCAAGATTTTCCTAAAAGAGTGTAAAAATAGTTTTCTCAATTGGTTCTTTCAGGGCTTGAAAAGTTCATAGCTAAATATACTATTTATGCCTGGTATGCTTGACATTTATGAATTAATGTGGTTAGTTACGAATTTGGAAGTTAGCAAGAGTTTGATATGTAGTCTTGAAGGTCATACTTACATACTTGTCTGTGCTATTTATTTTGTCCAAACTACATGTCTGGCTCTACCTCTGCTGCTAACCTTATGAAGTTTTGTACCTTACACATTAATTGATATTACAGAAATCTTTCGTAAAATCCTTAAACGCAGATTTAGCAAGAAGTAGAACATGTGTATGAATCTTTATTATTACATCGAAATCGTATGCAAAAGAGCGAATTCCATTTTATCCATTTTTTTCTTTCGTCTCTTATGGTATGCAAAAATGTATTAAAAAATAAATCAACAAAAGTAAGTGCCGTTTGGGTTAAAAGTAAAATACGTATTCATAAAAATATAAGAAGATGTGGTATGATTACCAATGACACGACCAATTGACACAGAAATGAAAAACGATAGGTCACCGTACGGCCTTCAACAATGCGTAAAAAAAAAGATATTAAAAAAAAAAATAAATAAGAACATTCTGGATAGAACCAAACTTTGATTATGTGACACATTTATGGTCAGTCAGCTAGATACGGGGTTAAACATGAATCTAAAAGAGATTGTATAGATTAAATACCATTGGAGAATTGTTGTGCATATCCAAAGTCAGGAACCTCGTCAGCTGCTATTGTCGTATTTCATGTCATAATATTAATGATTTTCGTTATTTTGTAGAAGTAAGTATTAATGGCAAATATGTGATTTTTTTTTCTGTTAAATGAATTGTCAGAGTAAACTATGTACGGTTTAAATGTGTATATATTTTAAAGACCCTCGTCTATTGTTGCAGACTATTCATGCCCGTCATATGACTTTTGATTATTTTTGTCGTATGTTGGTATCTCATTGATGTATACCCCACATTTCTTTGTATACTCGTAAATCAATTGATTATATTTTAACATCGGTAAACTATTGTTGCCTAAATTGTCAACAACAATGACTACATTACGTGACAAGAATACAGTACAAATAAACGCAAGAACACTCAGGACAAAGAAATACATTATTAAATAATATAATAGTACATTATATGTACACTGCAGAATAACAACGGACACCTCACATGAATTTACGGCAGTTCACCAGGACACCACAAATGAAGTATAAACTGCGCGTCACACGAATGTATCAACGCCACAAAAGAGTGACGTATTATTTTGACGTTTATATTATCACTGGTAAATTTCTCTAAATAAAATAGATTTGTTTTATCTATAGAAACGTACAAGAATATAACATTTGGATTGTGTTTGTAATGGTGTTTGTAATGGTGTTTGTAATGATGTTATTTGTGTTATTTGTATAAACAAAAAAATCCTGTGCATATAGTTGCTTTAAACTTAAAATCATATAAATGAAATGGCTGATTTTTTATCTTAACTTTTACATACATAAAGAAAATAAAAATAAAATAATTGTAATATAAAGCAAGATCATGTAAGACCAAACAGTAAACACACTTCAAAACAAACAACATTAAAAAAAAAAAAAAACACTGCAGACGAACCACGAGTAAATCGACTGTACTGACATATAAAACATATGTGAAATGTACCGAAAAAAACAGAATTCAAACCATAAACGACAAGACATAACTCAATATCGAACTGGACTTACAAAAGAAACATCATAACTAAATACATGAATAAAACATATATATTTCCATTCTCAATTTTATTTACATGTATATGTAATAATTCAAATTTGAATCCAGTACGATCCAGAAACCCCTAGGTCAAATTGGAATTCTAATATCTATGACCTTTAATGTATTTTAGTTATGATAAGAATCGCAAGTTAAATAATCAGCAACAAGTAAAATAACAGAAATATCGAACACCGAGAAAAATTCTAAACGGAAAGTCCCTAAGCAAATGGCAAAATCAAAGGCTCAAACACATCAAGCTAATGAATAACAACTGTCATATTCCTGACTTTGTACAGGCATATTCTTATGTAGAAAATGGTGGATTAAACCTGGTTTTAAAGCTAGCTAAACCTCTCACTTGTATGACAGTCACACGAAATTCCATTATATTGACAACAATGTGTGAACAAAACAAACAGACATAATAGGTATTTTTAAGATATTTTTAAGATATAGTCACCTTTTTGAACACCATGTATAGTAAAATCAACCAGAATACAATCAATGCGACAAATTTATTAACAGATTAAAATGTTCTAACAGATATCTTGAAAATAATTGCTTTAAAGAGGAAATAATGGCTACAATTGAACAAAAATTGGAAAATATAGATAGTCTTTAAAAAACGTTTACTGATATAAAAAGATTCTTAAATGAAATAAGAATATACAAATGGAGAACAATGTGGAAGGTTTGAGTACTGTTTTAGATTGTGCCATAAATCGTTGTGCATGAAACGGGGAGGAAATTGAAGAAATGAAAGACAAAATATGGAAAATTAAGTCTGATATAAATAAATCGCATATAACAGACAACTCGGAACACATAAAACGCCTGGAAGAGTATGTTGGTGATCTTTAGTGTAGGTCAAAGAGAAATAACCTGATATTTTCGGCCTTGAATATCAAAGAAAAGAACAAGTGCAGCAAAGAAATTATTATGTTTTTTTATTATCAACCTCAGATTGATCACAAAATACAGAGTTCGGAAATAGTCACAGATTTGGAAAACTAGGTCTAAATAACGTGATACTGATTGTAGCACGATCTATCTATCGTAAAGATCTCCAAGCAGTTCTTAATAGTTCATACCAGTTAAAAAGGAAACAATTCGGTATTAAGGAGAGTTGCCAGACGAAGTCGAGACACGACGGAAGAAATTGTATCCCGTCATGAAAAAAGCAAGGCAAGATGAGAAAGGAAAGGATTTTAATCCCATTGTTTTCAGATGTTTTAATTTACAGTTAGTTTTTCAATCATAGCTCATGCAATTGATAATGAAAAATGACATGGTTACAAAAAGACTAAACATGAGACGGACAAGTAACGGGAAAACAAAGTTTATAGAACGCGTAATAGTAATTGGAGCACATACTATTAGAAATATAGAAACTACGTTGGACGAGGTGCTTTTGAAACTAAATTTATGGCAATCTGATATTGATACAGTTGTGAATAATTTTGTGATGTGTTTTAAAAATCATCTGATAATGTATTTGGTATGACATGTAAAATTTATACATATGATACAAAATGTAAGAAATTTGAAACAACCCTTGATATAATACAAAATGTGAATCTGAAAGAAAGATTTTTCACAGAGACAAACGATAGAAAATATAAGTATTTTAAAATTCAGCTTAAAATACCTCAATGAAGAAGGCAAGTACAGAGTATTAACGATAGATGAACAAGTATGTACAAGATGTTCAGATACATACTGCTAATACATGAAATAATCCCATAAAAATATTAGACTGATCTTTAAAGGGGCACTAGCTACGAGATACGTATATAAAAAAATTAAAATAAGATTGTTTTTTGTTCAATCATTAATGAAAGAGAAATAGTGAAATAATTCGCTTTTAGCAGCCAGTATGGTTCAATTTTGTCAAAATAAGCTAAGAAACATCGATGATGAATTATTCACTTGCTAGAGACGGATTACGCACTAATTATGAGTGTTCAGTTATTAAAAGGAAAATAATGTCAACATTGAAAGTGAAACAATTAAAGGTAAATCATTTGATTGACTGATTCGATCCACAAATACTCATTCTTATTAAGTAAAAACGATGATTAACATATATTTTTTTTACCTATAATATGAAATTAAACAGACCTAGTAAAATCCAATTGCACGCGTTCGCTATCTATCTATATCTATATTTATGTTTATATCGCTTATATGACCGTCGGCAGTCTTTGGAGGTCAAATCGATAGTTAATCATAGTAGATGGCGTCTAGACTAAAATACACACGAAACGATGAATTTGACAGCAAATGCCCCTTTAAGGATTATGGAAAATAACAAACAAAATTAAAAAAATCCAGTGTAGTTCTAATGACAAGTTGAGGCTGTTGATAGAGATAAAGATCTTGATATTGTTTAAAAAAATCTTCCAGAGAATATTGAAAATACTCTAAATTCGTCAATAGTCGATAACCGAGGAAGAAATTCTGACTAAAAAGCAATAAAGCCTCCGGGTATTAGAAATACAGTTCATGTGATGTAGCTAATATACTGCAAACTGTTTAATATAATATTACATTCTAGATAAATATGAACTGAACTCCCACATAAAATCTTAAACACAGTTTTATCTCGTCATCAAGCGCAAGGTAATTTTAAAATGTACAGATAAACACAACTTGCTTACGAAGCAATATTTTTAATCAATAACATATACACTTACCGAAATGTCATCCTGCTTATTAAAATGACATTAAATGAATATATTAATTTATTAGAATTCCAACAGTTATATTTATATAGAATAGAGGGGGACTTGGTGGCTGTGTGGTCTAAGTAGTCGATATACTGTATCACTAGCCTGTCAACACTGAGGTTGATAGTTTGAATCCGGCAAGTGGAAAGTTCGCTCGACTCCACTCTCAATTGACTAGG